ACCCTGAAGCACTCCCAGGGGCCCTGGTATCAGCCAGCCAAAGATGCCATCACGGCAATAGTACCATCTCCTGATCCACGTATGTCTTGCTGGCTTCCCTGAGAGAACCCGCAGGAACAGCCATCCTTGCTTTTCAGAGACAACTGTGGCACCTTCCTCGAGACGAACAGTGATGGGGCCACGAGTGCCGAGGAAAGGAACGGTTGAAGTGCTGTAGTCCTCGAGCTCACGAGATGGCTTGAATCCCGCGAGCGCATTTTCTCCAATCTCTCTCCTGGCAGACTGCAACTCTCGCCTGAAGACCATCTCAGACGCCCCCATTTCATTCGACCACCCCTGAATGCGCTCCATCTCCTGATTCCAGCGCGTAGTGTCGATTGCAGCTTCTTTGGCACGCCGCAGCTGGCTCCAACGCTCACTGCATATTTTGACAAGCAACTTATCCATACTAAAGCGCAGCTGTGGTGCAAGCTGGCAGTAATCCATCGAGGCCTTGAGGTATGCCTTTCGGGTCTCGAAAACAGCAAATGCATCTTCCCGCAGGGCTGATGGCTCCTTTGTCTTTGGCTGACTGACGTATCGAGCGAGCGTGGAGTCAAACGTTCGCTGCGCCTGCTCCATGGCCCTCCTGCACTCCTTGAAATTCCTGAGATCACCGACGATGAACTGCCGAATAGGGTCGACAACCAGACCTTCCATCTTCTTCATTGTGCTTATCATCTGAATCCAATATTCACGCCATCCATCACCCACCCTCTTCAGAGCCAAAAATGTATAATCATTGTCGACAACGCCGTCAGCCGCCGAGGGCATCGTCTTCACGAGGAAAGTATTAATCGTCTCTTCGAGGGCGAGGATATCGTGCAGTAGTTTCGACGTCGACTGGGCATATCCGTTGAGCCATTTTTCTATAGCATCGACTTGATCGCCAAAGTTTGCGGCGGTTACACGAAAAGTCGGAGAATCGAGTGCTGCTTCGTTGAGGCCGACGGGGATGGCGCGGCCAGCATGGTTGGCCGCTGGTGGAGGGGAGTCTTCAGGCATTATAAGAAGATAACTATGATTAAGCGCCTGGCGACAGCTCCAGTTGAAACTGAGCCGAGGTCCGTCTATAGCGCAGAGATGGGAAAAAGGGAAGATTATATGACGGTGAGAAGATGAGATGAAATGAGACGCTGTTGACAAGATGTGTTCGATGATAGGTCATTTCCAGGTATTGGATCCTAGGCGCAGCCCATGTAAGCTTGTAGTCTAGGTTACTGACGTAGCACGGGCACCCATGCTGAGTACCTCCCGTGAGTCCCGTCCACTAACTTAGCAGGTAAGTGCCTTACTATCTTACCCAAGGTCCGCGGACCCCAGCGACCAGAAACACCCGGAATGGGATGGAGCTAATATCGCAAATACGCGGTGATTAACAATACGATATCATACCTACAGTACAATGCCAGCTAGTAAGCCTTGATTCATAAAATAATATAGTATACATAATGTGAGTTCCCCTGACTTATGGATAATCCGCCCCGGATGGAGAGGTTCTTCTCATTAGCCTTCTGTTTTCAGTTGGGTAATACGAAGTTCATCAAATTGTTTCACTTAAACTCGGAACAGTGGCCATGCAAACGGCTAGTATTTCGTTGACCCGGCGTGTAATGCCTGCTTATGACTATATATGCCCAGTCAGGGACAAGCCTTGCAGCCAGCTAACGCCGACTCTACTCAAATAACAACAATCTTTAGGCCGGACGTTGCGATACGATGCGTTACCCGTATCGACCGACCCTCAAGATCGATCCCCTAGCCGCCGTGCCACCGCTATCCTTCAATTTTAATGGTTGGGCCTACCAGCCGTTAGACCTGACATTCTGATTTCCTGAGGTGCAAGAATTGGAGGGTCTGAGATGTACCTCTATTCCCGTCGATCATAACTCAAGCCGTCATCATTGTGCGAAGCGGACTGGGTCGCGATGCCTGGCGGGAAGAATGGAGAGGCGCGAGACTGTCCCTCTCCACCAAGCGGTGCTGGGCGATTGACATCGGCGCGGCATCGGTCGACCTCTGCGCCTCGGGGCGCATGGCACTGTTGTTGTACATGGACGGATGAACTTGAGTCGATCCCTCGCTGGTAACGAGGGGATCCGCTGGTCAATCTGCTTGCTGATTAGAATCAAGAGCTCTCATTTCCCAGGCGTCATGCCAACTCACCGTCGTAGTACTCATCGTCGTCACTCAAGTCAGCCAGCTGCTCAAAATTGACCTTGTAGCGGAGAAGACCACCGATACCACCGAAACCCTTGACGAACTGGTTGCCCTCGGTGGATCGGTCAGAAACAAACTCAAGAGTGGTACCAAAGTCCTTGTAGTGTTCCGCAATCCATTCCAGGAAGGATTCCTGGGAAACGATTTCCATCTCTTGGCCAGTCTCCTTGTCGAGGAACTTGTCACGGTTGGTCTGCTCCTGTTGCTTGGTGGTGTGGAGAATGACCTCACTGCCGCTGCTATCTTTGAGAACCCAGCGGGTGATCTCAAGGTTCTCGAAGACAATCAAAGTCTCGACGGCACCGAGCTCGAGGGCCTTGAGGGTGTCCTCAATGCCGTAGCAAACCTTGCCAGTGTCCTGGCTGATCTCCTCAAAGTACTTTCCGATGAGCTTCTTCTCCTGGATGAACTTGACGTTGCCGAGAGTCTCGGAAGACAGCTCGATGGCCTGGTTGAAACCGTTCTCACCACCATAAGAAACATCAACAACCTTGATAACCTTGGTCGCAAGACGACCATCGAACATGTCGGAGGCGTTGAGATCGTTCTTGAAATCGGCGGAACCAGCAAGAATAAGACCAGCGACGTTGACCTTGTCGGCAGTGATGAAGTTCTGGACAGCCAACTCGGCAACCTTTCGTACGTAGTTGTGACGCTTCTCCTCTCGCAGACGAGCGAAACGGAGAGCGGACTGACCACCACGGCCGTGCTTCTTGGGAAGATCGACAGAGAACTTGTGGACAACCTCACGTGTGTTGCCGCTAAGAGTTCCAAACAGAGCACCGTTACCATCCATGATGATAAAGCCAAACTTCTGGTCGGACTCGAGCAGCTCGGCCAGAGCCTCGGTGTGGAACTTGTTGTCGCACAGGTAGAGGGAAGTGTTGATGGGCTTGAAGGGCTCGAAATCGATGTTGACCTTTCGCTCCTTGCCTTCCTGGGTCAAGATTTCGCCACAGTAGACGACCAGACCGTTCGGGGGCACCTTGTTGTACAGCTTGAGGCGCTGCTGGGTCGAGGTAATGGCGGACAAGACAGACTGTCTGTTGACTCGAGATTTGATGTTGGAGGCGGTACCCTGAGGGGTTGTTAGTGTTGTCGTCATAGGGGGATTTCGAGAGGAATATGAGGACGCACGTATTCTTCAGCCAACATCTTGGCTGCTCGAGAGACTTGATCCTTGGGAGCTAAAAGGACACACGAGTTATTGGGCGTCTTGGGGAGGGCTTGTTTCATGAGAACGGCTTACGGATAATGAGGGAAATCATTGAGGTTCCATTTCCTCTGGCGGCTTCAAGACGCTTTATCAGCTTCTTGACCTTCCAGATCTCAATCTATTGAACGATGCTGTCAGTCTTGATTGTCTTTGGGGTTTGTCGATGTCCTAGACGTTAATTTTCTCGATCGCGGGGCAACGCACGACACGAGAAAAGAAGAGGGGCATTCGAGGTCCGGGATGAGGATAAGAATAAGACTCACGTTCTTCTCGGCCTCGTTCGCCTGAGCGTCACTCATTTTGGCGGTTGAACTGCACTTAGCTCAGACCTTTGTATGGGAGTGGTATCTTCCGGTAGAAATTTCTCCTGGAGTCGTGGAACTATTAATCTTGGACTGGACTCTGGAGCCTGAAGATCCTAAAAGTTGGATGTTAGTGCCAGATTTTTTCGTGCAGTGAGCGATGACCTAACGTTAGTGAGGCGCCCACACCCACGTCCACACACCACAAGAGCACAGAGCACACAACCCACTTTGATTTGTTGCTCAATTGGGGCAATCAAGTCAATGCACTTCACACTTTCACTAGGTACCTAACGTAGGTAACTTGTTGCTTGTATTTTGCCCTCGGGGACGCTGCAGTTTGCAGTATCGAGTATGCACTTTGCTTGAAATCATCGGTACCCGAGTGGGGCATTAATATTAATTACCTTACCTTACTTACCTAGGTAGGTAGCTTACTTACTCCTGCTACCTTACTGTATATTCACTGCTGACACCTATGGATGGAGTCCAGTCTGGACACTTATCTAGGTAGGTCGGCCCCTTCTGAATCATGGACTGTTGCTGCCTGTAGGTACCCATGCCTCCAGTCGGTTCAAGGCTGGCAAATGGTGACGGACGTTGAGGACGGTGTGCTTCATGACTGACTTGCTTATGACCTTGACCATTCAAAGAGGATATGATGTCACAGCAGGCTTAAACTCTACCCAAGGTACGTGTAGATAAGGTAGTAAGGCAGCCCAGGAATACCTTATGAATAGACAAAGGCCATCATATTATGGTGTATGGTCTGCATCATATATGTGTTTGCTTCTGAAGCCTTTGACTTCTTATTCTGTGGACGCCTCGCACGCCTCCAAGAAGGTCAAATATGTCTCCTATGATGAGGACTCCAGCAGTAGCTGGCACCACATACTGGTAGAAGAGAAAGCATGCAACAAAATACCCAATCAAGAGGAAGAGAACAAGGCAGATCGCAGCATAGGCTATTCCTTTGGCGCTTCGAAGAGCAATGTCAAGAAGATCCAAACTTGGTTCGGCAGCATGTAGTAGAAACTGGTACGTGTTAGTTCATATTAGGTGCCTCCTTTCGAGTGCTGTAGACGAAGAGGGACATAAAATAAGAGCAACTTACCCGTTTCCCCTCTTCTAATTCTATTGTCGTCATTCTCCTCGGTGTCATCCATCTGGTCATCGAGTCGACTCTTGTGCCAAGGCCAGCAGTGCCTGAGAGGTCTGGTTGACTATGAGATGCAGCAGCCATAGGTAATAATGAGGTTCTCATAGGTTTTGTGTGGGCTTTGCATTGATAACTCCTCTGTGACACCCATCATGCTGTTCTGCAAGTTGAACGACTGTACCCGGCGTGGGAGCACGCCGTTCCTCTCTGGTCCCAGGCCACCCCTCGTAGTATTGTGCAATAAGGCGGGATTTCTTTTAATTTCGACCTCGATCTCAATCCTTCGGAAGTTCTTGATTGCTGTAGGATACTTCAGTAAATGTCTCAGATTCCATGTTCTGTGTGACAGACTCACTGCCAACCTCAACTGTTGTCAGAGCAATAACGATCAGAAGAAGCATAGGCATGATCTGCCCAAAGCTCGCGGTCAATAGTGGCTCGATGTCCGCGCCTTGATAGAAAACACCAATGACCAGTGTGTACAAGGCAATTGAAAAGGAGAAGATGGCGACCAGCAACTCAAACAAAACTGAGGCAGCCATCTCGGCCACTATAAGCGGTGTCACCATGGTGAAGGTTTCTCCAAAACTCGGGGCTTTGCTCCAGTATTGCCGCCTTCTTTCGAATTCGCTGGCGCTTATCCTTTTCCTTGTGCTCCAAGTACTGCCGAAAGTCCACCTCTCTTTGACTCCCCGAAGATATCCATCGTAGGATCGTGTTCTTGGAAGTGCTGTTCTCAAGTTCGTATCTTAGAGAGTTGTCCAGTTTGATTGATCGGAAAGCGTTCCAGTAGACAAAGGCCAGCATCACAGCAATTGAGAAGCATCTGACACCCATTGATCCCAGACGAGGCAATACCGGATATTGAAGTCCGCAAAGAAATAGCCTGTCGCGCGGCTCGGATAGTGTAATGAACTCTAGGATCAGGGTTGCGACGAGGAGTCCCAGGAACAACATCATTAAGCCACCACGCAAGAGGGCTTGCTTTGGATGTCTCCTGAAGTACGACTTCAACACCAACAGCGTGCATAAGTGAACGGTGGATGATAAGTAGCCTAGCTGGGCGCCGATATAAAAGGAATAGAGCGATACTTTGCAGACTTGTGCATACATGGCGATGAGATAGCACAGCCCAACAGCCAACATCTGGTCTCACTCAATACGAGTAGAAGGGACTGGTAGCCAAGATTACTAGGGGACTCGTTGGCAGGTTTCCTGACCCCGATCCAATGGAGAACCTTCTCATCGACTCGCATATACTGCTGCTTGGGTATGCCGCGTTTGAGAACAGCCATGAGGGCCACAATGACCGAGATTGCAGCTGTGATGACAAAGGATAGTACAACCTAGGCACAGAGAATATGTTGTGAGCAAGCAAAGGGACAGATGCGAATCAAGGTAAATGGACTTACACCAATTCCGTTCATATCAGCATCCACCACATGCTCGGCTGGAATGTCACACTGAATCCCGCCATTACAGAGGCTCATCTTCAGAGCAAAATACTATCGTCAAGGTTGATGAACAGGATTGACTTCATGTCGTCACAGGTTGAATGACAATAAAGAAGGGGTTATTTGATTGCGGGCTATGAATGGGCCTGATGCCGATCATCACGTTTGACCAACCTTCAGCCCTATCCTTGTTTTACACCATGTCCCGCATAGTATACAGTCCGTCTAGTCAACCTACGGTAGGTAGGTATGCTGACAGCCTTAAAACCCACTGGTCTACATGTCACACTGCATCATCTCTCGAGAGAGAAGCACGTTGACCTTGTATGATTCCAATTGGTCCAGGTCTCTTCTACTGTGATAAAGATTAACTCGTGTGATTGCACAAACCCCAGCTATGATACTCATCAATCATACTACCTAGGTAGTGGAGGCTAAGCTGGCTGTATGTCCAAGGCCTTGGTAGGTACTTAATCTACTGATTCATTCTTAGTTGGAGCTGTAGCTGTAAGTAATATGTCTGATGTTCAATCCGTCTTGAGCTTCTCATTCGGACAATGTCATTGGATGGATCTCGACCGGTCATTCCCCGCCACCTCCACACGCTAGTAGTCTACCGCCCCAGCAGCAACATCCACTATCTGTGTACCTATGTATGTACTACTTGCGATCAAACACACACTACACTCATCAACAAGGTGTCTAATTTCCTTTCAGCGACAGAAACAGCATTTCGGGACATCTTGGAATTGCCAGAATCGCTTCATAGATAGTTTCAGCCGGAACTACGTGCATCAAAGATGGATTCAGCTCCCACAGAGCTTGCCGCCACTATCCAGGCTGCAAGCATCGAACGCCATCCAGATCCTGCTCTTGATACCAACCCGCCCACAGTAGCCGATAGACGGCAGCCTGTGACCCTAGAGCACGCCAAGCACGAGCACGACGATGGAATTGACGATGAGGACGAGGACGAAGAGGACATCCCCTACAGCGTTCTCCGACCGGCGCCCAGACATTCCCACCTACCTCCTCTGCCAGATCTGCGCTTCGAGCAGAGCTATCTTCGAAGTATCTCCAAGGCGGATACATGGTGGAAAGTGGCATTAATTACAACGAGGGATCAGGCATGTATACGGAGAGTATCGCGGCTTCTAGCTGCTAACACGCTGCCAGATCATCATGCCCTTAACCCAAGGCTTAGTGTACAACCTCTTTCTCTGTGGCTGGCAACATTGGAACAGAAATGCTCGATTGCACGGCAACACATTAGGTGCGCGAGTAAGGCGCTGGTGGTGGGAAGTCAATAATTGTAGGTCATTGAACACATGGCCATGTTTCATTCAAGCTAACTTGTTATTGCTAGGGAAGATACCTACCCATCATAAGAGAGGTTGACAAGATCAGGAGATGAAAAGACTACAAGATACTCAGGACGCCGATGGCATTGCCATGTATGATTTACTAAGTTGAAAATGACGACAAATCATTGTGTAATTTGTGAGAAGCAAGCCCGGAACGCCTTTCAAAGCCTTTCAAAGCCTTTCAAAGCCTTTCACTCAATATGGGCTTCTCCCACTTCGAAAACCCTGAACATGGACTTCTTGGTCCGTAGGTGGATAACAAAGTCTCTTCACAACTACCGACTACCGGTTCTGAGAGTCTGTTCCTTGACCATTAACTACCTATGTCACATATCGCCGGCTTCGGCGTTCCTGAATGCACCACTCTCAGTGACATCTGCCTTTATAGAAGAAGCAGATAGCAATACGGTCGTCGTATATAGCTTGACATTGGTATAATAACTAATATGTCTCGCTGTGCTGACATACTTGCCCATCCTAAACCCTCACTGGATCAAGATACTGTTGTCCGTTGGGCTTCACTTTAAACCTTCTAAGAACCCTATTTATGGGCACGCAAGTTCGATGCCATCACTACCTTGCTTCTTCTAATATTGTATTTCCATTCCGCCATATCGATAACCTTTTGCGTCACTGGCCTTTTGCCATATAGACCCTTGGCTCCCCAACTCCAACAAAAACGTAGTGTCAAATGACCAGCCCCTACTCATGATTTGCCCCAACATCGAGAGGCCGGGGAACAGGTTGCGCATGCGTCTTTTCTGGGCTCCCTCTAAAAGCCAGAGACGTCGCGTGTAGGGCTGCTGGGCTTGTATTGTTGCGTTCAGCAAAGTTGGCGTTTAGAGTGGGAGATTGCTGGGCTGCAGCCTGTGCTTCCTTGCTGGATGTAGCTTCCGGGGCGTCTTGCATCTCAATAAGAGGCGATTCTCCCAGTCGATGCTCCTCGCCTCCCTTATCAGAGCTTGGTGTTGGTAGTTTGTTTCCGGCTTGCGAGTTGGGTCCCAGGACGTTCCGCAACTTTGGTGGTGTTACTGAAAGCTTTACAACCAGACTTCGGTTTTTCTCTTCCAGGTCATCATCCATCATAGCTTCATCTTCGTCGAAGTCGTCTTCGTCTTCTGATTCCTCAGGCACATGCTCATCAACATCTTCCTCGTCATCCCCGAAATCGGCTTCGCTCTCATCGTCAGAATCATCAGAGGCGTTGTGCCGGGGCCCCTTATTGTTCTCGGCCCAGCCGGTTGTGCCGTGGTTCACTGCTGCCGATCGGCGAGGCCGTCCTGTTGGACCGACGGATTGCTCTCTATCAACTTCGGACGTGTCTCCCTGTACACTGCCTGGCGCACTGCTTCCAATTGTGGGGTTCAGCCGCGTTGGTGCCTTGATCTGCCGGCCGCTAGCAGTAGTGACAGGGCCAGTCTCTACGGGTGTGTGAGTTCCAGTGTTGCGAGTAGATCGTCGAGTTGTCGAGTCGGTAGTGAAGATGTCTTCATCATCGGAGTATGTATACTTCATCTTTTTGCCCCGGGTTCGACCCTCATAAAGAGAAAATCCAGGCTCCGGTCTCTTGAACTGTTCCTTGCGCGCCTGGCGGTAATCACGGCGCTTCCGTTTCTATAAAGTGTCAGCGCTGTAATCGAGTTGAGAGTTGTGGCAGAACCCATTCTTGGGGGCAGAACCAGGGCGCTGTAACTAACATCTTCGCCAGCTTCGAATCGGGGAACCGCAGAGAACATTTTCTGAGCTAGCTTTGTAGCCTTTGGGCCGCCATCCTTAACCTGAAGTTTCTCAGCAAGAGTCTTGAGCTCTTCGATGGTACCCGCAACGCTCCACCATGTTCTGTTGGACCCAGCAGGGTTGCTCTCTCTATAAACGCGGAAAGCAGTGTCGTCTTGTCCTTCAATCAGAAAATAGCGGCGCTTGTCTCCATCTGATCCCCAAGGCTGTACCGATCTAGGCTGATTCGTATCATCTTCGTGGCGGTTTTGCTTGTATGATTGATTGATAAGTCCTTTGACGGCATCGGAGGACGAAAGAGACCATAGAATTAGATATCGCAGGAGTGTAAGCTTTATCAAATGTTAGCACCAGGGACAGTCTCGAGGTTTGGTTTGCCAAAACACACCCGTTGCGTAGGGTTCATCGAGGCGAACGTCGCGCCGCCAGACAAAGGGCTCTTGTCCTCCCAAGCAGGTGCCCATTGGTTCTTGTGAGTACTGACAGCATCCTCCAAAGCGCGACCGTAATGGCCAGGCCTAATTCTCGATTAGCGCATTGTTTCTTGCGGCATAAGGTCCTGCCATACTTGACATCTTGTTTGCGATTCAATAGTAACCCCAGCAACGCGCAAAGGAAATGTTCTGCTCGATCGCCAGGAATGGGTTCGACAATGTCACGTTCGAGTTCTTGTGGGCCAAAATGGGCAAGCGATTTAGGAAATGCGTCATTGAATCGACTTCTGAACATCACAATGAACTGTAGCTGTTAGCCTGTACTCTTAAAGTCCAATGCGCGACTGCAGCGCGTCGCAACAGCTGCGACACGCGCTGAATGGCAAAAGAGAAGACTGCGAAAGGAAGCTGGGCACAGCAGTAGAGCACATACTGCGATATCTGGATTATCTGCCAATACATATTCATGAGGGGGTGATGGTGAGCGTTTTCGTGGTGGCGGCGAAGCCTCTTTGGCTGGTTTGTCTGTAGCCTTGGAGAAGTATTTCTGGATACCCTTTTTGGGCTTGGCGACTGGCTCTTGGGCTGGCTCGTCCAGCTCAATATCAGAAGGCGCGGGTGACAACGAAGAGAGCGAAGAGAGGTCGGAGGAGTCGTCTTCGGCCGACATTTTTTGTGTGGTTTGTTGATGTGAGGTTGACATGGAGATGGAGATGAGTGTGGGGAGAAGGAGGAACGACGTAACTTGGGCTCTGACACAGAACAAGCACACACTAGCCTGGTCGAAGAGCCGCAGATTAGGTTGGGTTGGTGAGTCCTGATAGGCTAGACAAATATCAATTGACTATCTAAACAATCAAGCTCGCAATAGAAACAACGTAAAAAACATCCTTTGTTGTTCCCCCGGCCGAGGGCTCTTTGCAACCCAGGCTATTGCACCCTCGTGGCAGTGACCGCCTCTTGCGCCCTCCCCCATACAAAGCTTCTGGGACGGCACAGTCTGGACCAAGATCTCTGTTCCAATGTCATGATGAGATTATTCCAACAAATGTGGTGTTTGGCAGTATACCACCAGTACACACAACTCTCATCCCTTCTCTTTGCGGTTTTGTTTCCGCATAAGTAGATTGACTCTCGCGCTGGGGCCAAGACGAACTGGAGAGTCTTTCGCTTCTTCGTCATCTTGGCCAAGTTTGCCCGTATGATCTTCAAATAAGCACCCTGGCCGAACCTCGGCACCCAATCAACCCCGATGTTCTTTCTCCTCGAGCAGTTGGAACATTGCCAAAAACTTTTCTGGCATGGGTCGCCGGAGCCATAATTCAAGAATGAGTCGCATAGTGGTGAGTGAGAAAACCGAATATCGAGAATCAGCATCTGCTCTCACCGCCATGTAGCATTAGATAGCGCGATTTCCCGCCACACTCGAGGTCTGTCTCAGGGACGAAGGGCTGTCCGTCAGAACAGGCCAAGAATGAGCATGTCCCACTAGAAACATATCGCAGAAGTCGTCGCGATGTCCAAAGACGTAACACAGAGGGCATCCACTTAGGGATATACCACTTTGAACGCCCCGTCCTCCCCTTGTCGCTCACCATGGATCAACCGCTTGGTCGACTTCAATCACCTCAACATCAAAGTGTATCGCCCCGCTTAGCATCCCGCAGCGCAACATAAAAGCCCATGCGTGGTACATACGCAAACGGCAGGAAACGCAAGATTGACAACAGGCTATTCAGAACAGCATCAACGATACCGACGAAAAAGTATACGTGGTGACAGCGACGTGCTGTAATCTAGCACCCTTGAGCAGACGAGATATTGCTGGGAATCAAGCATGCACCAGGTCATGACTGCGCTGTCGTGGTGATGATCGCTGGTGATGACCTCAGCTCAGTTTGAGCGATGTCGAGAGGCGAAAGGTCGATTGGTTAAGCACGCGCCGCGCTAACATCCAATGGCAGACACAGGTAATTTATGGGGCTGGCAGGAAGTAGGTATGTACGGATAGGTAGGTACCTAGGTACAGTGAAGTTATGCCCGTTCTATTGGATCAAACAGGGAAGACTCCACATTTGAATTGGAACTGAAAATTGGAAGGAGCAATCGAGCCCTATCACGTGACTGGATCCACCGCAAACTGAGAAAGAACGACGCACAAAATTAGTAGCGCGAGCGTTTCCAACAACACACCAAGCGGCCATCGCCAGGTAAATATCCCCTCCCCTTCCTTTCTTCCTCGCCCACGATCTTCCATACTAACCCGCAGCTTCACAGACTACCCTTTCCTTTTCACACCGTGAAGAAGAGCCGCCATGGGTAGAGTTATTCGTAACCAGCGTAAGGGTCGTGGATCCATCTTCAGTCAGTACCGAACGAGCCTCCTCCACGATATCGAAAAACATCAAGATACTGACGCCTGTTAGCGGCCAACACACGCCTGAACAAGGCTCCTGCCAAGTTCCGCAACCTCGACTATGCCGAGCGCCATGGCTACCTTCGAGGTGTAGTCCGAGAGATCGTCCACGATGCTGGCAAGTTCCCCGAACGATGAGCTCCCCGATATTCTTTTTTTTTACGGAAAATGCACACTTGTTTGTGAAGGAGGAACGGCAACTAACGATGATTGTCTGTGCAGGTCGTGGTGCTCCTCTCGCCAAGGTCGTCTTCCGCCATCCCTACCGATTCAAGCAGGTCACCGAGACCTTCATCGCCAACGAGGGCATGTACACTGGCCAGTTCATCTACGCCGGAAAGAAGGCTGCTCTCACTGTTGGCAACGTCCTCCCCCTCGGTGAGATGCCTGAGGGTACCGTCGTCTCCAACGTCGAGGAGAAGATTGGTGACCGTGGAACTCTCGGCCGCACTTCCGGCAACTACATCACCATTGTCGGCCACAACCCTGATGAGGGCAAGACCCGCATCAAGCTTCCCTCCGGCGCCAAGAAAGTCGTCCACTCCGGCTCTCGAGGAATGATCGGTATCGTCGCTGGCGGTGGCCGAACCGACAAGCCTCTCCTCAGTATGTTTAATCGGGGGGGTAATGAAATGAGGCATTGGATTACTGACATTTCCCGCAGAGGCTTCCCGTGCCAAGCACAAGTTCGCCGTCAAGCGAAACAGCTGGCCCAAGACTCGTGGTGTTGCCATGAACCCCGTCGACCATCCTCACGGTGGTGTACGTATCCTCAGAATTTATGTGATGAAAACGGAATAGCTGACAATGGATACAGGGTAACCATCAACATATTGGTAAGGCTTCTACCATCTCCCGATACGCCGCCCAGGGTCAAAAGGCCGGTCTCATTGCCGCCAGAAGGACGGGTCTCCTCCGTGGTACCCAGAAGACAAAGGAGTAAAGTGGTGGCTGGGTTCATGGTCTCATTGGGATGGTGTTTACTGGCTTGCTTGCATCTATTGAAGGTACTGCCGAGAGCAGATGGCTGGTAGCTCCGAGGGCAAGTACTATGGCATTTGGCGCAAAAAAATCTGAAGGCCGTTTCTCTGTGAAAGATGTGAGCGAAGAAGTGAGATACCACGAATACCGAAAAAGGCTTCCATGAGAGAAGAAGCATGCTTGGTTAAAATAATGTCCATTCAGCGATTGTGTCCAATCATGCACACCACGCGTTTTTGTTATGCAAGTGATATATATCCTACCTTGGTGTATCCTCAGCTTCTTGTCATCAATTAGATCGCTCATTGAAATGTTTTGTAGCCTTCACATGAACAATTCCGAGTAGTGAAGCTTAACTTGATGATTGTCGCGTGGGGTTCTTTTGGTAATAGTCAAGGCATCGGCGAGGTCACCGGATCATGATGCGGACGGGTGGTGAGGTAACCAGATCTGGATCGTATGATAGCTGATTGAATTCATTTATATTAAGCAGAGAGCCCAGGCCATCGCTCCGTCAATCATAAATTTGTACCTAGCTTTGATCATACCTACAGGCTACATACATACAGACACTCTCATCATTTAAACGTTCCCGGCCTCCAAGGTACAATAGTTACGGGCAAGTACTAAATCAACAAACCTAGTAGGTTAGTACGTAGGTATTATACATACATACACGGAAATGTTGGCAAGGCCATCTTCTTCGACTCTCTTCTTCCGACTTGAAATTCCTTCCCTCCATCCCTCCTGCCGCCGCACGTGTACTCGCAACTTCTCCAGCTTCGCTCCTTTTCGGCTGCCGAAAGACCACGCCCCACGTTTTTACCCCACCAAGACCAGGACGACGTTTGACCCCTCCATTCACCTCAAACTCTTCCCCTACAAAGCTTCATCTACTTTTTTATCCTCATCTATATCTCATCGTTTCTCTCCCCAAACAAGACAGTCAAGCATCATGTCTGCCGTTAAGGAATACTCCCTTCTCTGTCTCGAGAACCCTCTCCTCGGTGAGTTACTCTTCAATTGCACCATCTGCAGGAGAAATAACTCTCAGTGCCCCTCCAATGCAACCCAACATTTGCTGACAGGCACTTTTTGTTCTATGCAGACATCCAGGCCAAGGGTGACCAGGCCCTTCTTGACAAGTATGGCCTCAAGCCTAACGACGCCATCCTCGCAGAGGAGAAGCATATTCCTCTCTACGAAGACCTCCTAAACAACTACGATGCCAAGCTGATTGCTGGAGGCGCTGCCCAAAACAGTGCTCGAGGTGCTCAGTACATCCTCCCTCCTAATAGTGTCGTCTACCTCGGCGGCGCTGGTGATGACAAGTATGCTGCTATCCTTCACGATGCTGTCAAGGCCGCTGGTCTCCGCGTTGAATACCGTGTCGACCCCAAGGAGAAGACTGGCCGATGTGGTGCTATCATTACCGGCCACAACCGAAGCTTGTGCACGGATCTTGGCGCTGCTAACCACTACGACCTCGATCACTTGAAGAAGCCTGAAATCTGGAAGCTCGTTGAGAACGCTGAGGTCTACTACGTCGGTGGTTTCCACTTCACTGGTACGAGCCCGGTTACAAACCCCCCAAACACCATGATAATGCTAACCAATCTAAGTCTGTCCTCCTGCCATTATGGAGCTCGCCAAGCAGGCTGCTGAGCACAACAAGCCTTTTGTTCTCTCCCTGTCTGCTCCTTTCATCCCTCAATTCTTCAAGGAGGTTGTCGATGCCAGCGCCCCTTACTGGGACTACATCATCGGCAACGAGACCGAGGCCGCCGCCTACGCCGAATCCCACGGCCTCCCTAGTAAGGAGCCCAAGGATGTTGTCAAGCACCTCGCCAACCTTCCCAAGAAGAACACCAAGAGAAAGCGAATTGCCATTGTTACTCAGGGTACCGACCCTACTCTGGTTGCTATCCAGGGTGATGACGAGATTAAGGAGTTCCCCGTTCACGCCATTGAGAAGGAAAAGATCAACGACACCAACGGTGCTGGTGACGCTTTTGCCGGCGGTCTCTTGGCTGGTATCCTCCAGAACAAGCCCCTCGAAACCAGCATTGACATGGGCCAGTGGCTGGCTCGTTTGAGCATCCAGGAGCTTGGACCTTCGTAAGTTCACCCAAACGCATCATTCCTGATAATTTGTGTTCACAAAATTTACTGCTTCATTCCTCTACCTATCTTTCCTACAAACAGCATAGCTCCTTGGCCAGGGCACCAATCTCAGTAAAACGATAACAAAACCTCAACTAACTCTCATGCAGATACCCCTTCCCCAAGCAAACCTACCAGGCTGCTTAAATCTATCAACAACTCATATTGCACATCCTTCTTGGATCATTGAATGTGGTTCGGCGTTGCTGGGGAAAAGGGAAACGGTTTCAACAACGGCGTTTGCATCCAAAGGGAGAATATACCCCAAACTGAGGGCTCCCAAGCGCATTAAGCGGCATGGTATCCTCCACGATATCGAGTATTTGGCAAGCATATTATCTGAGTGAATATAAAACGAATGACTTCTTGCTTCAAAACCCAAGATCTTACACCAACGAATGGTGTCTATACTGTCAGACTGGATGAATACTGACTGAGTCTGAGCCGGCTGGCGAGCAAACTCATCAGCTATCGCACGAGGTCCGAAAACACGGAGCAGGTGAAATAGGCCAGCGTACTGCACCTGTTGAGCTGATCCACTATGCCGTCAATATCTTCAAAAGCTGGCCGACTCCAAAAGACCAGTCCTCGAAGCTAGGACATGTGCAGGTGCTTTATAGCGAATCGTCGGCTATGCAGTCAACCATGCTCCGCCCTGAGTGGCCTAGGCCGGGAACAAGACGTTTTTGAAAACGCAAGAGTCGACGAAGAACTAGGCAGGTCGGAATATCCTGATTTCCACGGCGTCTTCTAAAAGACACGAGAATGGCCTATGCTTTTACTTATTGCCATAAAAGGCAGCCTGCAAAATGGCAGCATCATAGCTGGACGTCGTTTCATCCATTTGAAAACGTCGGCCTGACGAGGATGGTGCAGGATCCTGAACGTGATTGCGATCGTAGCGGCTCGTGTCCATATAGCCAACTCCAGTTGGCATGCCGAGAGTAATCCCATTAGCAGGTGTGCCTTGATACAAACTGCTTGGGTGCGAGAACGCAGATAAAGAGGAAGACGTGGCGTAGTCATGGGGACCATGTGATTGAGGTGCTGTCTCGATGGCCGTGCGGTTGTGGTCATGGCCCCATTGGCTGGATACCGAAGTACGAGGGGCGGAGCTACCAAAAGTTTGAAGCAAGTTGTTGCGATGAGCCTCTTCGGCCGCTGAGCTAACACGGGGACTGGCCATCATGCCACTGCCAGCTCGAGGAGTTGGCATGGTTGGTAGCTGAGGGGTTGAGTTGGTGAAAGGGTCGTCAAATGCGCTAACGGTGCGTGACGTTTTTCTTATAGAAAAGTTAGGACTAATAGGGCCTTCGAAAGCATCCTTGTATGATACCGAGGTATCGTTACCCTTATGGGGTGTCGGGGTGTATACCCAGTCCCAGGGAAGAGGTTCAAACTTGCCAGAGGGCATGGAGCCTGTAGTAGGGCTGGCCTGAAGCATTCCAAAGACCTCGTTCGCAGTTGTGCTATGCATTCCGTATGAGGTCTCATCAGTGGAGCGGAGACCAGATTGTGCCTGTTCAGGGGTAGGAGGCCTTAGGAAAGGAGCAAGCATGTTGATAACAGTGTTATCAGCATCGTCAGGTACGGACTGCTCATGGGGAGGCTGTGTCTCGATAGATGCAGCAAAAGCCCTCCTCGCGTCTGCCTTGGACGCAAGTCGGTTCCCTGTTTGCGTGTTGTCCGAAATGGTGCGATGTCGACTGGCAGTCCTGATGTTGCTCTGGGATTCCCGTGCAGGAGAACTCACAATAGCCACCGGCTGGGAAGTATATTCGTTCGCGGTGGGCTTTTCCTTATACTCAAAAGCAAGGCCTTTCTCGTCGGAGACATGGATGGCAAGAGGGCACAAGTCGTCTCCGGCTAGGAAGTAGGCGCATCGCAGTATGTCCAAGATTCGTGCCAGTGTCTCCTGGAAAGCGCCGAGTCGTCTCTCTGGGGATAGCAGTCTTGGCTTCAAGCCACCGCTCTCAGAAAAGTAGGATCGGCAAGCTTGCGGAACCTGATCCGGGGCAAGGGGAAGCAGACCTTGGGTCTGGACATCCTCCGCGAGAAGGTATGGGCATGAGGCCAGTTTTTCCTGGGTATATGTCTCGTTGCACAATAGTGAGAGGACCTTTGACATAGCCTTCATCATACTTGGCAGTACGGTGCCAAGAGCTTTTCCAGCCGCGAATATTTCCTGGCGACGCGCAGCCAGCCACATACCGTATATACGAAGCAGAGGTAGAAGCGCCTCGATCACAGGGGTTGATTTAGCCGTTGCCGGGTCCTCGGAAGCAGGGTTCTCGCGGCCGACAATATTGGTGAGCTCAGATGTGAGTGCCGAGCAGAACGCAAGAATGAACTGAGCGTTGATGCGCAAAGTATAGTGACAAAAGCGTGAAGCGGCCTGTGTTTGTGCCTCTGCTTTGTATTAGAAACAACAATAAGCAATTCGTGACTAGCAGACCTACCGGTATATTTCTGGGTGGCGATGAAGTAGCTCGACATGTTGATCAGCGACATCCTGAACAGAACCTCGGAATAGTCAGGGTTCTTGGAAGCCATATCAAGCCGATGAAGAACTTCCCTTTCAAGCTCCCCGCTGCCTGCCATGGTCTCATCCCTATAGTAGGAAGCATGAAGTTTAGTAAACCAGGTGACGAATGCATCGCTTGGTCCACGCGCTTGCTTCTTAGGCGGGTTCTTATCCGGCTGAAAATAGCTCTTGAACTTGGACTCAATATTCTGCTTCACGTTGGGATGGGGATCAGCCGTTGCGATGCTCCGGTAAAAGTAGTAAAGGATATCCAAATCTTTGCCTTCCTCGAGGCTTATCATGCCCATCTGGTGGAACGGGAAACCGGAATCGGGTTTCAGATCGTGAGCAAGACTGTAATAGGCCAGTGCAACCTTATAGCTCGACTTCTTCAGGCCTGACTGAACCTGATAACGCGCCAGGTCGCCGAGACAAATGAGAGTAAAGTGGCATGAATTGATGACCAGCGGATAGATCGAATCGGGTACGGGACTGATGAGATCGCTACTGGAGGATCCGTCCACCTCGACGCCTTGAGCAATGCGCTTCAATTCGGGGATGTCGTATCGTGCAGAGAGGCGCTGGACATAACCCTTGTAGAACTCCTGAGCGACATGTAGAAAGCCCAGATACTTATCCCCAAACTTCCGTCGCTCCACATTGCGCTTGTCACCCTTTTGCTTTGGGGTGCTTTGTTTCTCCCCCTTGTTCTTATCCTTGTCGCCAATGCGCTTTTCGTTGGCCGTCTTGTCGGTCTTTTGCTTGTCCGAATTTTGGGCCAAGTGTCGGAGGCGAACCAGGGCTTTTCGATATTCGTTGTTGATACTAGTATGCACCTGCCACATAGTATAGTCGGTACGCTCGGCGACAGCATATTCGAAGTCGAGATAGATGGTCTGCACACAGGCAAGGCGGAATCTATTTTGTGGGGTTGTATGAATTAGCTTCATGAGCGCAGCAAGCTGCATGCGATCTTCCTCACTTATCCAGAACCGTATCCATCGCCTCAAACTGGGGGATGTCAACACCAGAGTTGTTATCTTTTGGAAGCTTTTCCATATGTTTTGTCAGTTGCCTTCGCAGTTTGACTGCCGAGCTAGAATATGTCAGCTCCTGAGTGTTGACCGGGTATGAGCAAGGAATCAGCATGTGGTGTTTGCGCAAGCCGATCAAATCATGGCGTTTTCGTTTTTATTTGGGTTTTTGGCGTGTTGGTTTTTTTTTTTTTTTTCTTTTCGTTGTGGCGGGGTATGATCACACGAGGCAAATCAATGAATGCATGGCTCCTTCACACGTTTCTTGAGGTGAGGGATGATGTTCAACTTACCGCCACGTTATTCTGGCCTTACCAGAAAGATCCGCATGCTCCGGCTTTGCGGCCTGGACGTTCGACGTCGCAGTCTCGGGTTCCATGATCGCGAAGTCGGTAGGATCGGGACGTAAACTATATAGACTCGAGGTTGACGCAGGCGGACACGGATGCGCAGGGGTAGAGGGCAGGACGAAAGGTGTCGCGGCACAATTCTAGAGCGTCGGTATCGAACTGACAATCGTTTCGTTCATGCTTTCTCTGGTGTGGGATCATGGAAAGACTTTCGGTCCATAACTCATTCGCAGATCGGGTCGTCGATTCGAGATTGAGGTTTGACACAGGCACTGGCACCAGACTCGGTTCGCGAAAATGGAATCGTTGGCCGAGGAGACACACATTGGTGAAGAGATGGAGGGAGGGGCGGGTTAAGTACAAGAGATAGAAGGGTAATGTAAAGTAAAGCAAAGAAAATAAAAGTATACGGCAAAGTAAAGTAAAATAAGGCAAAGTCAACACGCGCAATAATAATCGACCCCGAGTTGTACCACAGGTCTATTGTTAATTGCGCCGTAGAGCCAAGCGTAACTTTGGTGAACGTGAGTTGAAAGAGGAGGGAGAAAAGTAGGTATCACTGTGACACCTCCGAGTGATGAATGATTTGATGAATGAACCGCCGACGGGAACCCCTCAGGGCAATGGAAGGTTCAGGCCAGGTCGGGCCAGGCCAGGCTCAGCGGTCGTTCCAAGGCACAACAAAATTTTAAGCCCCCTCCGCCATTACCTACCTACCAGGTACTTAGGTGGTGGTGATTCAATATGTTTTAGTTAGTAGATACAGCCCGTACAAACTCAAGAGTGGCCCGTGCTCCCAGTACCAGCTCCCAACTGGTTTGTAGGTGCTCCGTACCGTAAAAGCTGCCCCTCATCTCCAGCCAGTTCATCAACTGGTTTAGCGCCTGACAGGGTACGGAGTAGACCCCACCAAATATCACACTCACTGGATGAGCTTCTGCTCACCTCCAATATAGAACGTTTTGGATATATCACAACGTCTGGCAGTCCCATCACATAAAACCCGTCCATGTTTACCTAGATACCTGACACGTTGGCTTGTCCTACGCCCAGCGAGAATATAGGCACATTGCCAGTTCGTCTCGAAAACCTATAACAGCTCCCTAAAGACTCACTACCCTGTACTCACCGCTTTGCATCCTCTGAACATTGCTCTCAAGTAATTCTACCTTTCCAATCAAGCTCACAACGAAAGGATGAAGCGCTCACGAGAGCTCGAAGAAGATATAGATTCCGATTCTGAACAGACAAACGCGGAACCGTCCCTACGTCCAGTATCAAAAGTAACTCAGCTTGAATCGGCCATCGACGACGAAGAGGATACCATAGCCATGAGGTGCAACTTGCCTCCGCACAGAGAGCCTCTGGCCTTTAGATCCTACGACGAATACGAGGTCCATTACAACAAGTCCCATACTAATAGGTGTCTTGAGTGTCACAAGAACTTCCCAAGCGAACATCTGCTCAACGTCCACATTGAAGAATACCACGACCCTCTAGTGATTGTGAAGCGGGAACAAGGCGAGCATACTGTGTGTACTATACCCTGGCTTTCCATCGACCATTACGAGTCTGCAACTGACCCCTTGCGCTTCAGTATTCGTGCTTTGTCGAGGGATGTGAGCGTAAGTGCATGACACACCAGAAGAGGCGTATGCATCTCATCGACAAGCACATGTATCCAAAGAACTTCTTCTTTGCCGTCACTAGAGACGGTATTGACGGTAGGCGGTCCCTGCTAAACGATGGCAGTCATCATCGCCGCCGATCATCAGCCAACTCGCAAGCTATAAAGAACTCTAGGCGTCGCGCCAGTCTCATGGAGGGTGAGAATGTCTCTTCACAGCCGGAGGACACATCAAAAGAGGCACCAAAGTCACCAGCGGTGAAGAACGTGGAAAACAAGCAGGAAAAGCACAAGCCAGCCGACACAGAAATGGCAGATCTTACAGGTGCCATGTCGTCACTATCCTTTGTCCCACCGAGTGTCCGGTTTGGACGTGGAAGAGCTGGCTTTTCCAAAAGATGAAGCAGAGATGATGTTTCAGACTGGCTAGGAGTATCAGCACACTTTTGGTAAAGACATGATGCGGCCAATAAAAGGATTTTCTACCTCATCGCGTCGATATATATCGCTTTTGCCTCGAATCGTTATCGATGCGTGTTGATGAATCATTAATACGCCCAACGCCGTCTCTTCCTGTGAACTTGCAGGTGTTTCCTCCATCTAGATCGCCTTCATATTCGCGCTTGTCGTGTTTAGTCGCTTGATGCGCAGCCTCTGCAACCGCAGCTGACGCACTCAATGTCTTGGTCACCCTTAATCTCCGCCCGTGGAACACGACAGATGCATGTGCTGTTGAAATTTGTTTCCTTTGTCTGGATGCAGCGCAGACAGCATAGCTAGGCAGGGTCAGCATGGATGCCTCACGAGACAAACGGCGGCTGGGACACTGACCTTCTCATATCCTTGTTTCTTCCACTTCGCAATCAACATCGCGTCCGCATAGCCGTTTTTCAGCAACCAATCGTACAGTTTCTTGCTAATCGCCTCCTTCTCGTAGTATAACTCATATACGTAGCGGCTTCGTTGATGCGAGATCTGGAAGATCTCCCACTGCGCCTGGTGCCTAGGACCTGATGGCGGTGGTTTGTTCTGGGCATCCTTCATCTTGTTGGAAAAGATGAGCAAGTCATTCTCAATATCCTCGAAGCCATCAGGCGGCGGTTTTCGTTTGGACGAGTGTCGAATAGCGGGCATCTTTGGTCGTGCGTTGGCTTGTTGAATTTGTTGTTATTTTTTCCGAGGATGTGTTCCTGTCGCAAGAAAAATGACGTTGGAAAGTTGCTGGCTGAGGCCAAAACTACCTAACCTAAGGTAGTACCTAACTGACTTAGCCTCCAGTGCCTGATTGATAATGGAGTGGAGGCGACCCAACTGCTCTCTGACCCAGTAAGAGAAACACTAGCAAACTCCCGAAAGAAGAGATGAAGGGCAAACTACTTGGATACTGAAAACAATATGAGAGCTCTCGTTCCTTTTCTTCTTCTTTTGAAATATTCCCCCTGACAGTTTTAAATTATGAACGAGATTCCAGTGTCTTACTGGGCGAATCTTTTCCCGGGCCGTCGGCCACAGGGTACTTTAGCGGTTGCAGGGCCTACCTAGACTACCAAATGGAAGTATTAGACACACGAGGTACAGAGTTCCTAAGTTCTTAGGCAACGACGAACTGGAACACAGATTTAATGGTCCTTATTGGTTCTCTACCCAGTAAGCGATTATTGAGAAGAAAAAAAAAGGATTAATTTTTTTTTTTTAAAGAAAAAACTAATGCTGAGGCTATTATGTAGATATCCTTAAACTTTCAGATGTTTCTGCTGGCCGCTGACAAAAAGCAGGCCTATGGGTGGAAGATTAGGTTTCGTGGCGGTGCATTGATGTGTGGCGCTCTTCCACGTGACCGTATCACCGCGGTGGTTTCGTGCATCTCCCGTCGGCTTCGGGCATCTGGGAAACGTCAGAGCAGATTGGTTTCCGACGTCAAGAGAGCATTGATTGCCCACCATGGCCATTACGCCGACCCAGTTTGCTAAGAAGACGGCGCAGTGTGAGTTTTGGTGTGTTAAACTGCTTTCAAAAACATTACTGATGCTTTGAATAGCGGCCAATTGGTCTGATGCCAAGCGACGAGTGTTATCCTCCTACCGAGAATGGATTCGAGCTGTATGTTTTGACGCATTCTCCTGTATCACGATATCCCTAGTCTACAAATGACTTCTGGAGAAACTTGTCCGGTGGATTTGCGGCCGACCAGCTGCTGATGAACCAGGTATAGGCCCCCGAAGTTCAAACCATGTACAACATGCCCATGCCCGTCTCTGCCATCCGAACCCGTATGCGGCAAGAATTCGAACGACAACGATTTGTGAATAAGCTCTCTGTTGTGGACGTTCTTCTCTTCAAGTCCCACGCCGAGTACCAGGTGCGCTGAAACTCCACAGCCGGAACGAATTGATGTGCAGGAGGGTTTTATGCTGACCTCATGGACGTAGGAGACAATGAACTTCTGGAAGCAGACCAATCATATCATGGCCTACTTCAAGGAGGAGAACTTCCGAGGTGACAAGCGACTACCATCCAGCTTTATGACTGGCTTCCTCGAGGTGAGCATCGAACTACATGACGCTCTGCTGAGAATGAGGCGGCTAACAGTATGCACAGGGTCGCAACTAGGCAACAAGGGCTTGTGTATATATCTCATTGAAAGGGATTCCTCAAAACGCCTCTATTTCCATCATGATCCATGTGAATGCAAACACTTTTAAGTCCTGAGCACATAATTTCGGGCTCATCGGTCAATTCCCTGCTCTGCGTTGTAGGCCTCCCTCTTGGTCCAGAACTCATCGGCAACTACATCACATACTTCTTGAACATCGACCAACCCCTTCTTGAGAGCGTCAACTGCAGTTCCACCTAAATACTTGTTAATAAGTACAGACCCGCGAGGCATTGCGTATACGTACTGTAGGTCTGAATGCGGATGTTCATCTTGGGCTCTGAGGGATGAGGAATAGAGTAAGCACAGAACTCAACATCGGGGCTGCCATATGTTAGTTGGGCTTCATAGGACATGCTAGGTAATACAGACTTTTTCATGATGATATATCTCAGCGCGTTTCCGAGCGTATGGCCTTCATCAGTGAACTCGAAGGAAGCAGCAGTGTCTGTTGAGCCAGGAAGCTAGTGATGTGTCAGTTGATATCACGTTGTGTCACCCGTGTTTCTGTGCTTACGATTCGGACTCTCTGGGGCTCAATCTCCTCCTCCTCTTCCTCATCCTCAACATCCTCGCCATTCACCTCAGGCTGCGCGGAGGCTGGTGCGTCCTCCATGTTGGTATCCTCAGCCTGTGGCTGCTCCTCCTTCTTCGTTCGCGCGGGCATTTTTTCGCTTGTGAGAAGTAAAATTGTAAGCAGCGGGAGGTCCTCTTCTGACTCTGATTCTTTTTGGTTTTGGGTCTGAAAGTATGGATCTGTTGTGACTAAAAGAGATATCAAGCCGTCTCTTGTACTGAGAATTGTTTCTTGTAAATTTTTGGTGAGGCTGAGATGTGGCGCAACGTGGGGCATCTCGTTATAATTGGAGAAGAAGAAAAAGGCATGTCTCCTGATTGGCTCACTCACTACATGTTTGTTCTACTCAGTCATTCATCGTGTTCTATTTCGATAGGAACACGAGTCTCTTGCGAATTGTCTGCATATAGCGCGGAGTGTAAAAATATTTATATACTATTTGGAAGTTATAGGATATCGGGTCAGGACAGTTGAGCCGCTGCTGATCTTTATTCGATCTGGCGCAACCTTCTTTTCCCGGCTGGTCTCTGTAAATCATCAAGGTTAGATGAAATATAAGGCTCACCAACACTTCCCTGGAACAAATTATATAGTAGTGTATAAAATGCAATTGTCGTTTCGAATACTGTAGTCAGTCTGTGTTCTGATCGGTTTGTAGTCTAGATGTCATGGCCACGGGTTTTAACGTCCGCCGAATTTCAACGTAGCGAGCAATTTGAATGATTGTTGGATGATGTACATTCCTCAACTGTCTATTTGTTTCCAATGCGGTAACACATCACCAAATATCAATATTGTCATAGCTGCAGTGCATCCTAGGTAGGTAGTTAAGGCGCCTCCGTTGGGTTATTAATGTGGTTCTGAACTGCTACCCTATATCATGGGTAGCTAGATCTATTCGCATTGTCACCACAGTTGCGTGTTACCCATAAAGTTATTACATTTCATGCCATATTGCTAATAAATATAATAGGGCTCTCTCTGGCGTTATACTCGGGGTATTGTTTGTCGGTATATCAATGTCTACCTATGCGGTCATGTGTACCTATGTCGAAACCGTATTTCTCCCATGTCCCGTCCAAGCTGGAGGGGGAAAAAAAGACTCGCCTACGATCAACCTACAACGGCGAGTTTATAATTCGGAGGTATACATACTGTCTACCAAGTGATATAAATGTGACCTACTGTTGTCATTCATCATATACGAAGACTACTATGTACCATATCGTGCATCAATCTTACGCTACACACAAGCCTCATGTTATAGACATCATCAAAGCAGTGCAACCAATATAAGATTAACAAAAGATGGTCGTGCTAAATATAGGCCACCCCGATTAGACCGGACAGACTGAATAAAGGGCTGATGTTACCTACTGCATATGCTCGTTCACCAACACTATTAGAGCGGTATGGGTACAGTGAAAGCCATCATTTTCAACCGAGCACTGCTTTTGAGCGAGAGCGCATGAAGTTACGCGACTTACAATACATTTATATATGCAATGGCGTAGGCACAGCCTTTCCACCGTAACTCAGAGAGTAACAGCATCATCCGCCGTGTTACATTGGTAGTCGAACTCAAGTTGACATCGTCCGTGCTCGCATAGAAGTGATATCCGCCGCATACGGAGCATAGTTCCAACTCAAACGAAGTAAAACCTTATGGTATCGGCAAATTGTTTCGACAAGCTCCAAGGGCACCCCAGTATCGCTTGCAACTCGTAATATAGCGCAAGCATTAATGTTTTAAATAGCAACTCTTGGTGATTCTCCAAGGTCCATATCAGGTACGACGTCGCCTGGTTGTCGAAATAACCTCACAGAAAACCATACAGCCCTTTGCCGCCTGACATAAGCAAGCAGGCAAGATGCTGTAGTCCAGTGAATGAGAAGATGACAAGTACGTACACCGTATCCGTATAGTGAAGGGATAAGTCGAGATGACGGCTAAACCACATAAGGTATTGACACGGATTAGCTCTGATCATGTTTGAAGATAGTAGGGATGAACCAATCAATGGGCTTTCCATGGACAATTCGAAACAGGTGCAAACGACGGCGCCCAGAAGAGGGTGGCTGCAGAACGTATTGGGCATTTGTGCGGCGTCGCGTCGCAGTAGCGCGAGGTGTGTGGTGTCAGCGCAGGTGGAGGAAACCCTCCACAAAGCTGCTAACCTGAGACGTTGTCTCAGGTGAGATGAGGTTCGACGAACGAACGAACGACGACGACGACAGCACAGTCAGTCACAACACAGCCGCTGTTTAATGAGAGAGAGCTGCAATTGCAATTGCCCAGAGTTACAGGCCTGGCAAGCAGAAACAAAGGCTGAAGGCGAGGCAGAAGCGAAAGTAGGAAGGGAGAGAAACCTGATTAATATACAACTAATTCTTTCTTTACAAGGCATGGATTCTAGAGGATGGGTTAAAGGCCTCCGTGGCTAGCTACTTTCTGGCTAAAACAACCAAAAGCCACCTGAGGCGTTGGCGGCGGGAGATGTGCGGCGCCTATTCTTTTTTCCCCTTCCAGCAAGGGTCATTGGCGTTGGCGTTTTTCTTCTTTTTCCTGTACTGTTGACTGTTAATATCAGACTCTTGGGCTACTACCTAAAGGTACCAAGCGATCCAAGTCTCATGAGTCGTTAGCCCAATGGAAGGCCCCATTATGAACCAACTCCGATGTGAAGAGTTTCTCTCTCCATTCACGGGCATGTAGAGTGCGTGCGTGTGAGGCCGATGAAAATGATGATTCTGCCTGTCACTCTGTCACAAGTGGTTGGCCAGAATCAAGACAAGAGGACCGATCAGAGACAGGGGCATACATACTATGTACAAGGATCGTCGTCATAAAGGCGGAAATGGAGCGCTGTCGATGCAAGTGAGACTCTTGAACGTTTACACCAAACGTGATATGGCGGGGGCCAGATATTGGATGTTGTGTTACGAAATGGAACTGTTCTCCAAAATACGCTCAAGTCCAGTTGTGATATCGATCAAGCCAGATTGACTTTTGCGGTCACGATTCTTTGACAGTCAAGGGTTCTATTCGAGGAGTTTCTCAGGCTTGGAGGGAAGGATTGTCAGTTTTTTTCTTCTTTCTTTTCTCTTGTTCTGTAAACGGTACTTTTTTCAGACATGATTGATGAACATCAGAACGTACGCAGATCATTCCGGAAAATCGCAATAGGGAGTGTGGATAATGAAGATCATGATATTTCGAAAGGACATGCTGAAGCAGTAAGACTATTTGTTACATACCGAGACAGTTGGAGGTGTTGATGATACTTTGCAAACTTCCTCTTGTTATTCTAACTTATAAAAGCGAAACTATTGCCTTATCATGGTGCACGGTAAGCGGGGGTTCAAAAGAGGGGACCTCTGAGGGGAGGGAGCTCAACTGTAAACGACGGTCCGAAACAATCGTAAGAACATATCCAGACGAATGGACACTCCTTTGTTCCCAAAATTCTCTATCCGTATGGCCCCAGTGATTTCAACAGGCAAACATCCTCGGAGGGATGGCATTTCACTATCAACTTGTCCAGAAGCCCTTGTGGTTTCTAGCATAGCAGCTGCTAAGGAGGTTTGCTGTATTATCCAGGTGCACAATATCCGTCATCAAAGGATCGTCAGGGCCCTAAGGATGTTTGGGGGTTCCGGGGCGAGTGAGGGGCAAGTTTCAGCGTGTGAGAGAGACGGGAGAGTCTAGAGAGCCTAGAGAGCCTAGAGAGCGCGCGAGTTGAGATGGTGGGGAGAGACGACGGGACGTATCATTGAAAGTGGGTTCTTTGGGGGATGCACTGAAGATTAATGAGGTGCCAGGTGAAGTACCCAGTAAAGAGCCAGGGTCGATGTCAATGGCCACGAGGCAGTCATGGCACTCCAAAACTTCTTTGATATGAGGATGTTAGTTCTGCCTCGGAATGCCTTCTCCTAGCCATTGGATAAATCGAACTCTGGCAAGGGCGACCCATGCAGCCATGTACTCGAGCCCCATTGAGGAAGGCCCCCGATCTCACCTGCCTAGGGTACATGCGTGGCATTTTTGACTTCCGTGGGTGGTGAGGTTAGTACCTACCTTATGTTGACCTTGCCGACCTAAAGGCAAGACGTGAAAAGTAAGGAAACTTATGGTACCTTAGTAGGTAGGTATGGTTATACACCTATACGGTGAAAATATCCCTTACCTTAAGATGGGATGAGATTTCAGAAGGTACCGCTTGCCGGTAAACGAGAATCGTTCAAACTTCTCATCAGCAACAATATCGAATCGTCTAATGAGCCCCCCTCCCCCCCCAAACTCCTTTAGTGGTCTTGGTTTGCTGATGACAGACAAAGGGCAAACTATCATTGGCTGCTCTTCGATAGTATGTCAATCTT